GTCTGATCATGGCAGCTAGATTAGACCCTTGTGGCAGTGATCTTAAAATGTCCTTGGTGGCTGAGTTGCATTGCTGGCGTAGGCACTCTGCCAGCACAGGACCCTTTGCCTCTGAGGGTAATGTTGAGGAGTCCAAGGCAGCCTGTAAACGATCCACAAACTGAGTGAAGCTTTCACTCTCACTCTGCTTTATTGTGGACCAAGGCGACGGTTTGGCTATTACTTTGGAAGCAACACGGATGGCTTCTCGGGCAGCACGGGTTGTTGTCATAACCTCATGTGCCCGCAAGCCCTCAGCCTGTGCCTGAGGGGTGATCATTGTAGGGTCTGTGCCCATTAGCCTCTGTATGCTGGAGCCGTGCAGTGGATGGTCTGCCCCTGTTACCAGGGCCAGCTGCTTAATACAGTTATCCTCCCATTCCTGCTTAAAAACGATCATCCCTGCCCCATCAAAAATCATTCTGCAAGTCTGCTTAATATCAAAAGGTAACATGTCATCCCCTCCAAAAACGCTGTCGATGAGTGTGGAAACCATGGCAGAATTAATTCCCCTATCTGCAATTGCTTTAATAATTGCCTGCACGTCTTTCAGGTTTACCGGGGAATAGGTCCTTTGATTCCCGCCGGCTCCCCCCACCCGAACCGGGAACACCAGTTTCGCCGATGGAGTCCATTCAGCACACGCTATTTTTATTTTCCGCCAGTCTGTAAGTGGAGTTCGATCTTTCTCCGATATCCCCTTCACCCATGCAGGGGCGCTGTGGCTAGTGACCTTGTATGCCGCTGCTCTCCTTCTGTTAAAACCCGAATCCGAGTCGGAACTCCCCGATCCCCTCTTGAGCTCGGAGCTCGAGTCTGAGTCCGAGTCCAAGTCCAAGCCGGAAGTCGACTGCCCGGACGTTTCCGGGCTGCTCTGCCTTTTTCTCGGGCTCTGACCCCGCCCCTTCTTGCGGGGGTCGGGCCGGTTCCTCCCCCTGGGGTCCCCCCACCTCCTACTGGGGGAGGTCCTTGCCCTATAAGGACCTAAAGTGAACTGAGTGCTCTGATTGGCCTTACGCTCCTCCACGGGGGCCGCCCCGTCCCCCCGCTCGCCCGCGCATGCGTTGTTAAGCAGGCTGACTGCATTTCCGCCCCCCGTGTTTTCCTTTCCGCCCTGAACACGCGGTTCGGCGCCATTTTCAAACGTATACGGAGGGGGTGCGCTTTTCTCCACCCCTTTGGGGTCCGTCAATTTCGCCGCCTCCCGCGCTTCCTCCGTTAACCCCCGCCAAAACACCCGCGCACGTTTCCCCCCCTCTGATGGTGAAGCGGTCTGCTCGGGGGAATCCGGCACTCGCGGTTCCGCGGTGCCGATCTGATCAAAGCCCTCTGCGGTCTGCGTTGCCGCGCCCACCCCCAACTGCAGCATGGCTAATAACCAAGCCTGCGCGGCTTTCCAGGTCTCCTGCTCTTCTCTAGCTTTCTGCAGAGCCTGCACGACTCTGCCCCATGACTTTAGAGCTTTCCCTGAGCCTGAGGACATAGTTTCCTCAGCTAAAACCTTTGTACAAGTATCCCATATCTCCGAATGGAGAATATCCACCGGGCTGTCTATCGCCCCCAGCTTAATAAGTCTCGGTATAGCAAGACATAAATCTTTTAGCTTACAATCAATCCCCCATTGAGCATGCATCTGAGTTACGACCTTCGCTATGGCTTCCATGGTCCACGCTGGTCCGGGGGCATCCCCCCCGCTGAACTAGGCCTGCTGTGCAGCCGCCAGTCCCCTGTCCAGGCGAAATCCCGAACTCCGGGCGCTGCAACTTTCCTGGGTTTCGGCACCAGATGTTGCCGTTTCGGCGTGGTGACCTGGTTCGGGAGGTCCGGCACGGTGACCCAAGGCCCAGGGTCACTCGGTCCAATGCTACATACACCAATGTGGTGGACAGCAAATGGCGTTTATTGAGGGGTCTCAGGGGTATTTATGGCTTGGGCAGTCTGTGTCACTTCCCTCTGCTCACGTCTGGCCGGATGTGGCCAGGTACGGAGCAAAGGTAAGACTGCAGGGTGAGGGGGGCCTTCTTATCTACCCGTACAGCCCGAGATCTTCCACACGCAGATCCCTAGCTCTCCACAGCCTCCTTCCCTGGTTTCCTGAAAACTGCCTTGTCATCCCCTCAACCCCTCCCCTGTGTCCTGCCTGTCACTCCACAAGCCCATCCCTTCCCTCCAGAAACTACTTCCAAGGGTGTCGAGTGATAGGCTCAGGCACCGGGGCCCCTCCCCTGGTTTACCCCCATTGGTTCCCCTACATGTCTGTTTCCCTGCTCCCTACACCCTCCTGGAATTCCATTGGCAGATGGGCCATCCCCTCCCCTGTTCACCTCCCCTTTATAACACCTTGCACAGCCCAGTTCTCTGTCTCCAGTTCTCTGGATCCCCTGGCTTGCAGATCTCCTTGGAGCTCTCTAATAAAGCTGGACTTTGCCCCCAGCTGGAGTCCCCTCTCCTTCTCCTACCAGCGTGGCTCCGGTGTCTCGTCCGCAGCAGGCGAAAGCCTCAGCTGCTCTCACAGCCTCCCGAGGAGCGGGAGAGTGTCCCCGCCGCTCGCTGTGCCAGGGCAAGCCGGGGACTGCGAGCGCCCCCTCGGAGGGGCACAGCCACAGCTGCTGCTCCAGCCGGGCTTTCTGGGCAGATACTCGATAACCACTCAGTCCAGGAACATTCAAAAGGTTCACTGCCTGCTCAAAACATTCTTTAGTAGTGTCAGTAGCATTTAACAAACCACCTGCATGCTGTAGGAGTGTTCCTTCCCCAGGCCGCGATTGCCATAGCTCTAATTCTTCAGCCAACTGATTCCCAAAAACTGGGAATGTTTTTGTACCCCTGAGGTAATCCTGCCCACCTAAGTTGATTTTTCCTGCCTGTGCAAGGGTTCTCCCATTCAAAAGCAAATATATTTTGACTTTCTTCTGCAAGTGGCAGGCAGAAGAAAGCATCTTTCACATCTATCACTGGAAACCAAATGAAATCATCTCAAAGCTTAGCTAGTAAGGTAGTCAGGCATAAATCATTAATTGCCTGTAAATCTGGCACTAGTTTCTAAGTTCCATTAGGTTTCTTTATTGCCAATCTAGTAGTATTAAATTTTGACTCCCATTCTTCCAATAATCCTAATGTCAGGAATTTAGTGATTGTTGCCTGTATTCCTTTCCTATCTTCTAATCTTAAAGGCTATTGCTTTCTGACTGCTGGCCTAACTCTTGTCTGTAGCTCGATTTTTACAGGGTCTGCTCGTTTTGCTTTTCCTGGCCTATCGGTATCCCCTACTCTTGGGTACACCTGATTCAACACTTGCTCTAAAGAGTTATTATTGTTTGTTGGTCTTGTGTCAATTGTCAGTCCTAATGCTAAAACCAATTTGTCTTCAGGTACCTTAAATTTCATTTTTCTTTTTTTAAGCTGAACTGTCGCTTCGAAATTTTCCAGCAAATCCCTGCCTAGGGCAGATTTGGGGGAGTTTGGTAAATCAAGAAACTGATGTATTCTCATTTTCTTCTCAATTTTACATTTAAGTAGTTTCAGGAAGAATGCATTGTTCTGCCCAGTGGCTCCTCTTGCTTGAAGACAGTTTTCACTTTTGGGTATCAATGCTTGATTCAAGAGTGAAAATGTGTCTCCAGTATTTACTAAAAATTCAACTTCCTTATCATTCTTCAGCTGTATTTTAACCAGTGGGCCTGCTAGGGTAAGATCTGGCAGTCTTGGTCATTTCTTATCATCTAGAGTGGCTACAAGAGTTTTGTGTACTGTGTCTGCTAACTCTGGGCACTGGCATTTCCAGTGTCCTTTCTTACAATATGCACATTGATTTGGCCCCAGCTTGGCCTGTGGCTGCTTTGAACCTCCTCTGCCTCTGGAATTTTGGCCCCTGCCTCTGCTTCATCCATGCCCACGTCCTCTCCCTGGAGCTGATCCAGAGCTGCCACTGTGGCTGCAGGGAGTTCTTTTTCTTTTTCTCTGTCTTTATTATCATACACCTTCTATGCTTTTTCATTAATGCCTTTAAGTCTTACTTTACAGGCTCTTTCAGCTTCTGAAGTTCCTGCCTGACATCTGGGCTAGATTGCCCAAACATCAGGGAAAGGAACTGCTGCTTTCCCATATCCGACCAGGGATCCAGGGCTGTGCGTTTCCGTGCAGCTGCTCAGAGCCTGTTCACAAAGTCAGTGGGTGACTCCTGCTGTCCCTGTGTAACATTATATATTACTGACCAATTTACTGCTTCTGGAATGGCATTTTTTAATTCAAATTTGACTAGTTCCTGGTATCTGGCTAACATTGCACAGCTGCCTGCATCATTTGGGTCCCACAAAGGGTTTACAGTAGGAAACAGCTGGTCCACTGTACCTTGTCAGGCTCCACTAGCAATTTGTCCCTGCACATGGGCTCTGGCTACCTTTATCACCAACTCTTTTGCTGGTTTTCTTAGCTCTGTCAGCATGAAATCAGCATCACCTCAGTCTGGGTCTCGATTCTTGACTATGAACTCAAATAGTTTTGCTACTTTGCTGGGGTTTTCTCTAGAAATTTTAACTTTTTCCCACCAACTCTTCAGGTCACTAGTAGAAAGCAGAAGTTCACCCACATGGCTTCTCCTTGGGGACCCACTACTTGCCTTAAAGGGGTGACTAAAGGCAAAGCTGTCTTGGTTTTATTCCTTGTGTTGGTTGTCACTGGGGTCTCTGAAATTGTCCCCTCACCAGGATTATTCATCTCATCCTCACTGCCATTTGGGTTTCATTCAGGGTGCGGAGTGGTTGGGTGAGGGGGAGTGTACCCAAGCTGGCCTGGGGTAACTCGGCTGTAACTCTTGGACACCTAGAACACAATCTTCCTCATGCTTTTTAGCCAATTTCAAACATCTCTGCCCTATGATCCGTGCTGAACATCTCTTTATTTTCTGCCTGTTATTTCTTTCCAAGGTTAGGACTGTTATAAAATTGACTCAAAACGAGCAATTTCCAATCAAAGAATTTATTAATTATTGAAGCAGTTATACTACGTAAGCAAAGGCTCAGCGCTGGGCGACAGGGGAGTCTCAGCTCCACCTACTGCCGCACCAACTAGTTTCTGATTCAGTCCTTTTATCCTCTCCATCCTTCAGGAGTCCATGTTATCTCGGAGTTCTCTGCGCCTGTGCTGGTTGTTGCTAGAGGGTCATCCTTCTGTCTCCTGGTGGTCGGTGATAAAAGGCTGCGGAGTCTTCCTCAGCTGCGTCTTCTTCACCCTATGTCTTTATTTGGTGACTTCTCCGTGGAAAATTACCAAAATCTTATGATTAACGCAATATGTGCCCTATCAAGTTTCAGCAAGCAAATATCCTGCCTTGCAGACTGTTTATCTGCCCCTGCCCCTTCCCCAGGTTTTCCCTGGTCGTTATCTCTGTGAGTTATCTGCTTGTACCATTTGTCAGCGGGAAAGGTTTCCCTGCTGGGTGTTAATCTGCCCCTGCCCTTTCCCCAGCCTTTCCCTGGTCGTTATTTCTGTTAGTTATCTGTTTGTACCATTTTCTGGGTGGGACTATGTGTGGGCTCCTGCAACCCCTTCCCTGGTATCCTTGTGGCTCATATCTCATGAAGTAGTACAGAAATAGTCAGCAGACAACTCTTGTAACACACTGGTCTCTTTTTCGTGATGAACAAAATGTAGTCCTTCATCTCAATCCCCCCTTTGTTTTGATACTCAATTTTGTTCATCAAAACGCTCTAATTCTCTTTTGCTGAGCTCCAGAGATTCTTCTGGATCATCCATCTTTAAGGTTTCGTATTTTGCTCGTATGAGCATAAGGTGAGCAGCTTCTAATCTGCCTTTTACAATGCTAATCAATTTATTAAAAATACAAGGGCCAAACGTGAGTCCCAATAGTAAGAGAAGTAGTGGACCCGCTATTGTTGATAATAAAGTTGTAAGCCAAGGAGAATAGTTAAACCAAGATTCATACCAGCTTTGGTGTTTTTCCCTTTCTCTTTGTCTTTTTTTTCTAGCCCCTCCCTTAGTTTTGCCATTGAGTCCCGTATAATTCCGCTCTTGTTTACACATGTGCAGCATTCTTCTCTTAAAGCAGCACATAGTCCTCCTTGTTGCAGGAATAATAGATTTAACCCCCTTCGATTTTGTAAGGCTACTTCTGCTAGGGAATCTAATGATTCTGTGAGGTCTTTGATGGAGGTTTCGATCCTCCTGAGGTCTTCATCTACAGAGGCTCTTAGTTCTTGGAATCCTCGGTGTTGCTGTATGAGTGAGGCTATTCCTGTTCCTGTCCCGGCTGCACCTATTCCTAGTAACATTGCCACAGTGAAGGTTGTGAATATTTCCCGTTTCACTATGTGGGGTCCTATATTTTGATATTGTTCATAAACGTACTCTACGGGGTGGTAAAGGACTCTGGGTACTATCAATACTTGAATACAAAAGTCACTGGATTCATTAAATCGGTCTATATTTATACATGGGGTGACTCCGAGAGTGTTACAGACCCATTTAGTATTTGCTGCTGGCAGTATCCAGCTGGCAGGTTTCTTAGGGTCACTCAAATTCCCCATAACCTGACATAGATGTCGTTTTTCCACTGGTACTCGTCCTATACATCTTCCTCTCCCCGTTACCCTTGCCAAGGTTATCCCTCTTGATTCTTCTCTTTCTTTTTTCCATAGGCACCTAGCTGGGTTGGTCCCATTTACTCGTATGCTTTTTGCTGTTACCCCTATGGCTTCATAGAACGGGGGGTTTACGGTGTAACACAGCCAACATTCCTCAGTTAGATTTGGATGGGTCTCATTCAGGACTAGGAAAGTGGCCTGTAATATTTTCCACAAGTCCCCTTCTCCCGGGTTTTCAGGTCCTCGGGTCGAATTAGTAAAGTTTTGCTTATACATTTCTGGAAGACTAGTGGTTGGGGCTGTTTCTGATTCATTTCCATTATTTTCTCTTAGCGTTAGTTTTCCAGCTATCGCCTGGTTTGGTCTAATTGGTTCAGGGTCGTGTGGCACGGTTGTCTTTTGGATTATAAAGTGCCCCCCTCTGTCTGTCCCTGGTTCCCATAATCGGGCTCCCCACATTTTCCCTAATAACCAGACTTGGTCATGTGGTTTTGTCACATTAATGTAAATCATATTGCATGTTCCATCTAACCTTCCTTCTTTCTGGGTATATGTGGAAGTGGGCTGTGTACACCCGTATGGACCCCATCCAGTTCTGATAAACCCGTCCTCGTTCTCCCCAAAGGAGCTTACTGATACACAGTCTTAATAAGCAAAGTAAAAGTGTCCTGGATAGTTACAATACCCTTTTCCCGGGTTTGAGCTTGGACAAAAATAATATCCAAACTGATTTAAACATGGATTTACAGGTATTAAATCACACAAAGTACATAAAAAGCTGGGTGCGCCAGACGTGATTTTGGTCTGGATAACATACTGGTCTTCCCATCTAATCAGTGACCATTTGAAGGGTTGATGTGAATACCCTTCTGCCCCTGAACTTGTTACAATGCACCAGAAAAGAATTAAGGCTTGTAATTTGGGGCTGTCATTGTCGGAGCTCAGGTTAAATTTTACCTTTGGTTTCCCCAGTGGTGGGTTACCAATCCTGGGGCAGGACGGCCAACATTTCCTGGACATCCCATATGGGGGTCGAGGCTTCCGACAGACTCCACTGGTTATTACCTCTCTGCCTCGCCCGACGACTCGGTTGCTGCGAGCCTCGGGGTTTACCATCTTCTTGGCAGCAGAGGTATTCTTCAGGAGCCGGATAAACCTCCCGTTTCCACTTTTTAGCACTGGCGGCCCAGTTATCAGCTTTTATTGAGGTCACGCTGCAAATTGGGGGCTTTCTTCTGACACACCACTTCCAGGATGTCCAGGAGAAAGGGGATCGGTTCGTTAGGGTGGTAGCAGAACTGATCAGGATTTACCCCTTTGGAAAAGGTTTCCCACCACTCGTCAGATCCAATCTTTACCTCCCCCGTAGCAACTCTGCTACTAAGAATGATAGAAGTTAGTCTCCTCTCTTTCTCATAGCACGGCGTGCAAATTCCCCTAGGTGTTCTACTACTCCGACAATGAGACCACCAAGGTTCGTGACACAATTTATAGGAAAAGCATACAAGGGGGTGACAGTCACAATCTAACCAGTTACACTTTAACCTTATATCTTTGTTCTGTGCTTTTTCCCCCTTCCATGGGTGCCCTTTATGTTCTAATCTCGGGGACTTAAAGTAGGGCTTTCTTAACTCGTCCTCTAAGAGTTTGCAATATCCAAGAGCCTCCCGATTCCCTATTAGCTGGGTTTGGAGATAATGGTTATCTCCAACCCAGATTACTATCCAAATAATTTATCAGTTCGTTTCAGCTTTAATTTGGTTTCTCCCGGGAGGCTGCAAACCTCCCAGCTGTGAGGGGGTTTTACCGGTCCTTTTATGCGACTAGCATGAGTCCATCCTTTTTCAGCGGTTCGTATGGCTGCTTCTGTGCTGAGGAGTACTTGGAACGGTCCTTCCCACCTTGGAGTCAAGGGGTTTTCTTTACAGTTTTTTTTTTCACAAGCACCCAATCTCCTGGCTGTACCTGGTGTAAGATAAAATCTAAAGGAGGCCGTTGTGCTAACATACCTTTTCCCCATAATGCCTTTCTGTACTTTGTCAATTCCACCAAATATTTTTGTGTACATGTGTCATTAATGACAGGATGTTCGTTAGGATTTTCTAGGTTATACGGCATCCCATACATCATTTCAAAGGGTGATACCCCTAAATCAGCTCTAGGTCTTGTTCTTATATTTAGCAACGCTAGGGGAATACATTTAACCCAGGTCAAATTGGTTTCTGCTACCAGTTTGGTCAATTGCTTTTTTATTTCCCCATTCATTCGTTCAACTCGTCCAGAGCTCTGGGGATGCCAGGGGGCATGTTGTTCCCACCGTATGCCCAGAGCTGTTGCTAAGTTTTGGGTAATTTGGGAAATAAAATGCGGCCCTCTATCTGAGTCAATGACTTCTGGGACCCCATATCTCGGGATTATCTCTTCCATCAATATTTTCGTAACTACTTTGGCTGTTTCTCTTACGGTTGGGAAGGCTTCCACAAAATGTGTTAGGTGGTCCACCAAGACCAATAAATATTTGGTTCTCCCTACTTTGGGGAGCTCGGTGAAATCTATCTGAATGTGGGAGAAAGGCCTTTTCGCTAGCGGTCGGCCTCCCTCCGGTAATTTTCTCAAAAAAAATTTTTTTTTTTTTTTTTTTTTTTTTTTTTTCCTATTTACTTGTAAGCAAATTAGGCATCCTCTGGTTACTTGTTTGGCAATGTCCCAGATTCCCACACTCACATACTTTGCAGCAAAATAATCTACCAGTCCCTGTGATCCCCAATGTGGTTTTTTTTTTTTTTTGGTTTTTTTTTTTTGGTTTTTTTTTTGTTTTTTTTTTTTGATGTATCTTAGTCAGTAATCTATGTGCTGCATTTTGGTGGTCCCAATGGGGGTTCTGTAGGGGCCATTTAGTGTCCACAGCCAGGCCTTGGACATGCTGCGTGTCCCAAATACGCATTCCTTCCCTTCTTATCATATTCCGTTCTTCAGTAGAGAACAGAATGCCCAAAATGGACTGCATTTCTTCCCAGGTATAGATGTTTGGTCCTAAGAACTGGTCGACCCTCTCGGCTACCCCAAAAGGGTCCTCTAATAAATGTCCCATGTCCTTCTTAAAGTCTTGTACATCTGCCGAACTCAAGGGGACAGTAATAAATCCTATACCCGCCTGTGGTCCACCCATAGGCATCTCCCGTAGAGGGAATAGCCCCGTCTCAACCCTACTGCGGCTCCTTGTAATCGGGCCTTGGTAACCGGTTTGGTTAACCTCCCCTTGGTTACCCTCTTCATCATTGTTCGGTGCAGGTGGTTGTGGAGGTGGTGGGGCATTGGGTGCTAGCGGTGGGACATATGGGGGCGGTGCTATAATTAGGTCGCCCAAATGATTGTCCCTCTTCCCCTTTTTGTCCGGATCCCCTTTCCCTTCTCTTAATTGGAAAACATACACTTCGGGTCTTGCTACCCATATTTTGGCATAATCACTCTCCTCTTGCGAGAAGGGCTCTTTAGAATTTACCCATAGGTTCAAGTCCTGTCGAACCCAGTCTTCAGATGATCCAAACACGGGCCAAAAAACTTTTTTTTTTTTTTTTTTTTTTTTTTTTTTTTTTTTTTTTTTTTTTTTTTTGGAAATCTCTTTCCCACCCCATACTTCCATACAATAATGTATCATTCTGGCCCTATCCTTAGTCTCAGTCCCCGGGTAATGCTTCCAATTACTAAGCATAAATCCTAGGGGATTGTCCCTTGGAATGGGGGGGAGTTTGCCTTGGGTTGGGGTCTTGATTTTCCCCTGCCCCATTCGTCCGGAGTGCCTTCTTTCACTCTCAAATTCCTTTCACTTCCCCTTTTTCGTGGCCCGAGCCCTCACGGGTCTGCGGGAACCGCACTACTCAAGGGTCCACACTCACTTGGAGAGTCCGGCTGCCGGCCCTCCTCTCATTCACACTTGTCCACCGCCACACTCCGGGATCCCAACCCCGCCCGAACGGATTCCCTTTTATACTTACGCGTCCTGCGTCTTCGTCCGGACTCCGTGCACAGATTATTAAGGGGTTCACCGGTATAATTTGTCCCGTTTGCTTACTAGTATATATTTTAGGGTCGTCGGTGAGAGTGGTGGAGGTTCTCCCAGAGGGGCCACCCAGAAAGCACTGGATGAGGCGCCCCCCACTCTGGGTAGATCCTACCCGATCCAAACTCTCATCCGAGTCACGGCACCAAATTGTTATAAAATTGACTCAAAACGAGCAATTTCCAATCAAAGAATTTATTAATTATTGAAGCAGTTATACTACATAAGCAAAGGCTCAGCGCTGGGCGACAGGGGAGTCTCAGCTCCACCTACTGCTGCCCCAACTAGTTTCTGATTCAGTCCTTTTATCCTCTCCATCCTTCAGGAGTCCATGTTATCTCGGAGTTCTCTGCGCCTGTGCTGGTTGTTGCTAGAGGGTCATCCTTCTGTCTCCTGGTGGTCGGTGATAAAAGGCTGCGGAGTCTTCCTCAGCTGCGTCTTCTTCACCCTATGTCTTTATTTGGTGACTTCTCCGTGGAAAATTACCAAAATCTTATGATTAACGCAATATGTGCCCTATCAAGTTTCAGCAAGCAAATATCCTGCCTTGCAGACTGTTTATCTGCCCCTGCCCCTTCCCCAGGTTTTCCCTGGTCGTTATCTCTGTGAGTTATCTGCTTGTACCATTTGTCAGCGGGAAAGGTTTCCCTGCTGGGTGTTAATCTGCCCCTGCCCTTTCCCCAGCCTTTCCCTGGTCGTTATTTCTGTTAGTTATCTGTTTGTACCATTTTCTGGGTGGGACTATGTGTGGGCTCCTGCAACCCCTTCCCTGGTATCCTTGTGGCTCATATCTCATGAAGTAGTACAGAAATAGTCAGCAGACAACTCTTGTAACACACTGGTCTCTTTTTCGTGATGAACAAAATGTAGTCCTTCATCTCAAGGACTAAAGGGTCCTGTGGGGCCAAATCAAAGCCACATTCTTTCTGACACTCAGGTTTATTCTCCAGGGTAAAAAACATGTCTGCATACATCACATGATCTCATTTTTCTTCTTTTCATAAAAATAACATCAACTCTCACAATGTATGATAATTTAAAGTTCCATTAGGGGGTCACTTTTGACCACTTTCTAAGTGATACCAAGGCTACTACCATGGGGTAGACTATTTAATCAGATTACCTTTCTTTGAAAAATTACCCTCCAGGATTCCTCCCAAAGCTTTCTCATAAATGTACTAAAATACATTCTAGTGCACTCCTTTTAATAACATTTTTACTTCTTGTGTTATTCATTCTTAATGCTATCTTAATTTCCAAACATATCAGTATGTGTAATTACTTCTTCTCTTTTCCTTCTCTTTATGCCCTGTATACTGCACTTAACACACACTGGGTGTCTCTGAGTCACCCAGCACCAATATTCTTTTTTATAGTCCTAACAAGCAATGAAAACAAAAGGATTACACGTTCCACACAATCTACAAGGAACTGGGCTATGATTGGACATAAAACAAGTTTCTTAAAACACTGCCTAAAGTAAAACTCAGGAGTATATACTCATGTAAACCTAGAGTTCACAACCCTTGACTTTTGATGTAGTGTCTAAAAGCTTGAGTGACTGCTCGATGTTGTTCAAAGACTTCTCAACCTCAGAGGGGCTTGGTGCTGTGCCCATTTCCCTGGGGTGTTGCAGTTTGTGTTTATTGATCAGTTATCTTATAATAGTTTGTTTTCATGTACCCCCTGTTTTTCCCAAGTTGGTTTACCCCTAGGTTTTGCCCTCCCTCAAAGCTGTCCTTCATGCCATTCCCCACTCTTTGTTCCAGCTCCTTCCCTGCCTATCAAGGTAACCCAGCTCTTTATTCCTGAACCTTCCCTGTTGGTTTTGTCTTGGACCAATCCCTGACTGCACCACCCCTTTGGAATTCCCCTATTGCAGGAAACCCCACTGGCCCATGGCACCTACCCTCTCCTCCCATCTGTCCTAATTAGTCCCAAGCCCCTGATGTAATCCCCTCGCTCCTGCCCTGAAGATTCCTTCTTGCTCAATGGTTTGTATCCACCCCCTGAGTTGTACCCCTATAAAATGCCGTGCACAGAAGTGCTGGTGGCTCTTTGCTTCTGAATCCTT